TATCTACATGCATGTAAGATGTACATGATCATTTTAATATATGAGTTAATTATGAGATGAATCATGTGTGAGTGTAATATATCATAAGAACAAGGGGTATCATTCACTGCGGGTGATCCGGACGGTTAGTAGATTCCACATATAATGTATTAGATAGTTGAATCTTAACCAAGTGAATAAAGGAGATTTTTTTTAATTAGTACTTACTTTGCCTGCACCATTTAGCTGAGATTCAACTGTAGTTAAGGGAGGATCTCATTACACATCATATGACACGTATTATTCTCATACACACACATATGCAGACATCTGAAATTTTTATTAAAGTTAGGGCCTTTTTTATTAACTTTTTTTTCTGGATTTTTTTTAATTTGCCATATAAATCTCCTTATTTGATGACTTATCGTTCAATATTTAGTTATACTAGTATCGTGTACGTGCGTTGCACGTAGGCACACTCGTTGATCAAATTTTGGAATTCTTTTGGTTCTATTAGGTTGGAAAGTGAATAGTTATTATGATATTATAGTAATTAATAAAACATTAATATTTATCCAATGAAATGAGACTTAATGCATAAAGATTAAATAGGTATATTTGTAGGAGGTTATGAATAAGTTATTTTTATCAGAAACAATAACTCTGCATAGAAAATTAGCTTACACATGTTTCTATTATATAATATAAACTACTTGTAAAGCAACAAGCTCAAGTACATTTACATGAGAGAGAGAGGGATGCCATTTTGAAATTATCTTTATAGAAATTATTAAACCTCCTCTAATTTATTATTAGCTCTTAGAGTCCCCCAATCTATATTTGAAACTTGCAATTTATATCTCTAAAATTGCATTTCAAGGCTATTAAGTGCTAGTATATTGAGGAGTATTTAGTGCAACTCAAGATATGAAAGAGGGAATTATGTACAAATTTTCCTATTTGTTATAATAATGCAATTTACAAATGGTTAATGGAGAAATGGTAACCCTTCATGAATGAGTTCCTTAATGAAGGGGGTTAAGAAGACAATGGAATAATAAAAAGTCGACAACTTTTCATATTACTGTAAATGTTATATTATATATTTATTTTTTTGAATTGGTAAATAAATAACTTTTTACTCATATTATATTTGATAATTGCACATATTTAATAATTCATATAAATATTATATATTAATGTGATATTAACATATATCATAATTATCATACATTAACTATTATACTCAAATAGTAGATTAATAGCAGAAAATCAATAATTAATAGCAAACAATTAATAATACTTTTAAAACTGTAATAGTAATCCCTTCTATAAGCATCCTCACGACCAACTAACTATATCATTTTCTAAATTGATCTTCCTGCACTTTCTATTTGTCCTTTATAAACCAATAATATCAATGTATTACCTTAGTGACCATAGAACGAAAATTAACCCTTTATACATATAGAATGAAAGCAATTACACTTATAATGCATTGCCATGGACAAAGCTTTCTTTGATCTTGAGAATAAGCATAATGCATTAAGAGATTCAACCAGACTATACAAACAATTTAGCATATTTACAAACATGCCTAGGAGCTGAAAACCAATTTACACGCTAAGGCAAAAACATATACGAAGATGGAAGGGGGGAACCAATTAGTTTATAACTGAAACAACTGCAGATTTTGATAAAATATAGGACCACATTCTCTGTCACCTTCACCAATTTTTTCTTTGCTCTCTAAATTGTGACACCGATGATTCCATTACCATCTTCTCGATCAATTTGATTGTACTCCACCAGTGATGTTACCATTGACACACTCACACTTCTTGCGGTTTGTAAATGTTGTAATTGTGTCTCCTTACTTTTCAATCTGAATAAATTTTGATTAAGAGTTAGAATTTTGGTTAGAGAAATTTGATAAGATTGTATAGTAAGAAATGCTTTAACATCCAATACACTTTTATAATAGTATAAAATTTTAAATCATTATATCTCTCTAGTGACTTTGGCACGTAAGCTATAGTATTGCAAATATGGTAAGGAATATTATCAAAAACATATATATTGTATGCTAAGGGAAAAAGGAATTCACAATGGCGACTTTGAAATCTAAAGAGTAGTACTTATGCCCTGAGAGAAAGGTAAAAACGTTCAAGGAAAAAAAATAAAATGAAACATCGCTTAATAAGAAGGTTCATTAGATATTAATCCTCAAATCTTCAATAATTTCACATTAGTCGCAACCTATGAAATTCCTCAATTGTTCCCTTAAATCCTAAGCAGTCATGAAATTTGATTATTCAATGACCAAAATACCTAAGGTAATGTTTTTTTTTTAATTTTTTAAAAAAAATTAGCAAGAGGGGTTTTGGTGGGGAACATAAACTAAAGGTGTTTTAGTCATAGATAGGGACCATTGCAAGATCTGTTAGGATTTGAGAGCCTTAAGAGCAATTTTAAAGATTGAGTGACTAATATGGAAAGTTCAATTGCGAGATCTATTAGGAATTGAGGGACTTAAAGAGTAATTTCAAATATGTGAAGGGCTTAAGAGCAATTTCAATTATTGAAGTTTTGATGGACTACTAATTAACCAATAAATAAACAAATAAAAAGTTCAAACGCCCAAGATGCTTAAAATTTTATGGCAACATTCATCCATCCCTAGAAATATCTCTCCATTTTGTCTAATAACCACAATAAGATGCAAACTTTTTTGGATAAATCTTAAGTAAATATCATAAGCCTCCCAATATCTCATCCACACAAAGCAAATGAAGTTGCTAAAGTAGTGAGATCTCAACGCTACGACCACCCTTTGTATCCTTCTACACAAAAAGAACGCTTGTGGAGGGTAAAACCAACCTCATCATTAGTGATTGAACCTAATATGCACAACGTAGGGCTCATGCTCACCGCACAGAGTACTTAAACATAAGGCCAAATTATCTCAAAATCATTGATCAAAGCCAAACCGTTGCCTAGATCTTCAGACAGAGATGCACGTGAGAGCCTGCCCACCAACAAAAGGGTGAGGCCACGTCAGCCCTAGAATCCAAGGGGGCGAATGAGAGCGCGCCACGTAAGCGGATAAGCAAGATCTTCCATGAAGGCTATTTTAGTGTGTGTGGGGGGGTACTGATGTGGGCTAAGGCTTGCCAAGGCTGACATGCGAGGAGAGTGCAAGTTGGTTTTCTTGGAGTGTCACCAATTGATGATTGAGCCATGGAGTTTTCCCTTTTAACTGTTATTGCAGATAATGTTGGAGTTTTGTGCATATTAGTCCCTTAAATCGTACATATTTTGAAATTATCCCCTCAGATAACTGAAACTGAAATTAGTTACTTAAAAAACACAGAGCAAATTAATGGGCTATATATAATTTTCTAGATAACAAGGAACCAATGTGCGTAATTAACTTAAGAATTGGGAAACTATTGCAATATATTTAACTTATTTGACTGATTAATTTCAAAATATGAAAGTTTCAAGGGACTAAGATCGGAAACCAAACTATTAATATTCATCTTAAACTAGCCCTAAAGCTACCCCTAGCTAGCACGTGAATTGCTGAGCTTCTGTAGCTTTCTCTTACTATCATGAGCCAAGCCTAATGGTACGCCTCTAACCAAAAGAGTTAGTTTTCGTAAGCCACATTAATTAGACTAATCAGCCTTTGACTTCTTAGATATGTTATTTAATGCAGTGACATTTTAAAGTATGAATGATTGAAATTAACTGTTTTTATCAATCAGAGAAACTCTTCATTTTCTATTCTAAGGTCTAGCTCTTACGTACGGCAAACTAATCCAGTTCCATTACTCATAATAAAATAACCAGTTCTACTCGATCCTGCAAAAATCCCATATGTTATGTGAATATCCTTCGCTAGCATTATTTTCGATCGGAGGGATTATGGTCAGCTTATTTAACCTTGTATATAAAATTTATCCTTCTTCTTGCGATTCATCTTATTTAAAAATGATTTATGGAGAGAATCTTCAAAACTGTACTATGATGTTCTCTAGGTAAGCAGCTCCATTCGAAATTTGAAGAGGTGAAGCCTATCAATCAATCCTGACCCCTGATTGCTGCGAGCGCTATTAATTAGAAGATTAAGCCATGTCAAACCCTCAATCAACCTTCATTAATATTAATTTGTCATTTGCCCTCCAATGTAAGACACGCAGAAATGAATTATATGTAATTAGTCAATTAGAGAAGAGACAATTAATCTCATATATTTAATTAATAATCAATAATTTAGATAGCCTCACAGTGGTAAGGTAAGGAAACAAGGAACAAGTCACACAACAATTATCAAATTTTTTTACATCTGCATTTGAAGTTGGGATATCTTATTATTCAATCCTAATCCTTGCTGTATGAGTCAGATTTGAGGAGGAGTTATGATATCACAGTTGTGCTCATAATTTTGGCAATGAAATAATATGAATATAACATGCTTCAAAGATTAAAATTGCTTGTAATTAAGTGATATTGATGTGAATTCTGCAAATGTCACAGGATCTCTTGGCTAAATCCGACTTGTCACAATAACCTGTAAAGATGTTACCTCAATTTGAACCTGGCCACCTTAACTAATTCTGCTTGATAATATTTTAACACGATGATAAATATTTTATAGCATGCAAAATGTCCAGCATTTAATTTGTATTCCTTTTGTAACCTGTACTTTAGAAAAATCCTCTCAAGCTTGTGTTTTTTTTTATTTCTTTCTTTTTTTCTGTGTACCAAGACAAGTAGTTAATTTCATACCAAACTAATTGATCATTATCATTAAATTTCTCAGCTAGGACCCATCAAACAAATGAGAACAAACCCCATTAATAATTCCATCATCAACCAGCAAAGAAAAAGTACTAATTAAAGGTTGCAAAAAGCTACAAATCACAGAGACATCAGCTAGCGTAGAGAGAGAGGGAGAGAGAGAGAGGAGAGAGAGAAAGTATAACTGCATAAGCCTGCACGTGGGTCCCGCGGTTGCCGGGCTGATGAAAGCTCAGATTGTCCTTTCCCCTGTTTCATCCTCTCAAAAGCTCCCCTGTTCTCCTGTTTTCTCTCATTCTCGAATCCCTCGACGCTCTCAAATTCACACACACACCCTCTCTCTCTCCCTCTCGCCCCTTTCCTCTTTCTCTTTATTCTTCTTCCAGAATCTCAGTAGTGTTCTATTGATTGCCTGCCGATTTCTTTATTCTCTATCTAGAAACTTTTACTGTTATATTGAGGATTTGCTACTGTTCTCAGCAAGACAACCCCTTTTTCTCCCTCTCTCCAATTTGGCTCTAGTTTCGCTATCTTGGTTAGTGAAAATCCCATTTCCATTTTCACACTCACTTGCCCAGTTTCATTCCTATTCAAGCAAAGAAAAGATTCCTCTGTTTCGACTAGCGGCTGGAGTTTTTCTAATTTTAATTTTCCTGCAGTTCTTGCTCATTTGACGGTAGTTCTCTTTGAGGAGAGGTCCTGTTGCAGAATTTGCAGGTTTTGAGATTTGGGTTTCTTTTGAGAAGGGTAGAAGTTTGAGAAGGCAGCTGGGTTTTGGGTTTTTGCAGGGGTTTAAGCCTGTTCCAACATTTCTTGTGGGCTTTCTTTTTCCTCCATAATAAAGATTGGATTTTGATGATTACCCTGATTTCTTTTCGAGGACTTCGATGTGGGTTTCGAGAATTTCTGAATCTGGTGAGCTCTTTTAGTGCCTTTTATCCCTGGGTTTAGGGTTTAGTAGTTCTCAATACTAGTCCTCTGAACTGCACTTTTGGTGTAATTCACTCTCTCAAATTACTAAAAACGACATATGTCGGCTTCAATCTGAAATCTACTGTCTTCACAATTATCTTCAAGAGATATCGACAATGTCGATTCTTAGCACCGGTGGCCGAACTTACGGCTTCGATCTAGACATCATAAAATCCCCCGCTTCATCCTCAGGCCGCTCTCCTTCCTCTTCTCCTTCATCCACAATCTCTGAAGCTTCAAATTCTCCAATTGCCATTTCCACCAAAAGAGCCCGAGCACCTCGAAAGAGGCCCAACCAATCTTACACTGAGGCAGCTGCTCTTCTCTCCACAATTTACCCCAATCTCTTCTCAACAAAAAACCTCCACAAGCTCTCTAAGCACTCAAAGCCATTCTCTTCGTTGCCTCCCTCTTTGTTATCCTCTTCTGACCTCCTCCCTCCATTTCCTGTCATTAATGAAGCGGGTTTCCTGATCCAAGACCAGTCTCCATGTCAATCTCCACGCATTAGCTTTGGGTTCAAACCCGCTAGCCCGAGTGAAAAATCCTGCATCGAGTACCAAGAACCTAGTTCACCCGAGTCCACCGATTATGATGTGGAGTCAATTCTTGATGAGGAGGTTGGAGAGGGAATAGATAGCATACTGGGGAGTCTAAGTGTGGAGAAATATGAATCCAACTCAAATTCATATGTTAATCCTCATATTGCAAGTCTTATGGGGGTTGGAATTGGGGGGAAGGCCAAATTCGGGTTTGGGTTGCGGTTTGGCAGGAATGATATCCGTCAGGCGCTTCGTGGAGCGCACAACAGCGAGTGGTGGAGGCCCACGATTGCAGTGCCAGTTGGTGACATTGTGCCCGTGCCCAAGTTCAGTGCGTTGCCGTCGTTGGAGAAGAAGAAGAAGAGCAAGAAGAAGAAGAAGGTTGAGAAGGAGGAGGTGAAGGATGAGCCTAAAGCCCTTACAGCTGAAACCAAGGCAACATCAGAACAAGATACTTGTAACAGTTCATTAGAAGTGGAGTTAAAATCTGCAGGTTTGGGACTAAAATTAAACACTGAAGATGTGCTCAAGGATTGGTCAGATAGAGAATTTCCCTTCGCCAGTGAATCTGGCACTCCTGAATCTTCGGCTGATATCCATGTATGTATCTAATTCTGCATCATATTCATTATTTTATGACTTTTAAATGTGAAAAATTGATGCGCATTAGACTAATATTAAGTATGCAGTAGGAATTCTCCGAGATTTATCAATCAAATTTTGTTTACCTTTTAGAGATGAACAAATTGGTGGATTTTCTATCTAAAATAATTACTGCCAGATCTGTGGCACCCTGGTTTTACTTTTTATCCAAAGAAAAGTTTTGCTAACTTGTGGTCCCGCACTGCAATCTCAGATGCCTGGTTTGAACCAGGAGTTATTTTGTTTATTCAGATAATTCTAAGTACATAAGTTCAGTTCATAAGACACATAGTTTGCTAAGTAAATCTTGTTATTTTAATTAAATACCTACAGTTTCCAGTCAGTATTTTCATTTCATTTCATTTCTTTTCTTTTTTTTTCCAACCCAAATGCCCATCTGTTTAGAATTGCAGAGAACACACAAAATTCTCCTCTTACATAGAAATTGTTCAACACAAAAACTAAATAACATCTGTTCAACTTACTCTTTTTATTTATTTATTTGAAGACTGTTTTGCATATGATTGGCGCACCTTAAACTTTCAGTAAGGTAGAGGGCATATTTTTAAAAGTTTGCATGTGTTTGGAGGTGTTTTTCAAATTATCAGCTTACACGGTTTAAAAACTTCTACTGAAGTTAATTTGATGCGAGTATATATCTATCTTGCAATCTTGCACCTTGCTGATTGAGTAATGGGTTTTTTGACAGGCTAGGCTAGCAGAGATTGATCTGTCGCCAGAGAATGAAGGCGGAGTAAGAGAAGCGAGCGTTCAGCGATACAGAGAGAAGCGAAGGACCCGACTCTTCTCCAAGAAGATCAGATTATCAGGTCCGGAAGGTGAATGCTGATGCAGCCCAGGATGAAGGCCAAGTGTAAGATTCACTAATCTCCTTCTCCCCCCCCCCCCCCCCCCCCCCCCCCCCCCCCCCCCCCCCCCCCCCCCCCCCCCCCCCCCCCCCCCCCCCCACGGATTGAGCCCTTAACAAGCAATATCCTCCATAAAGGAATTGCATATAATCGTTGTAGCTTATTTAGAACTTCAGAGAGAGCCAAGCTTAAAGTTTAAGATGGTTTTTTTTCATTACATTTAACTGCTTTTACCAACTAATGCAGCTAGTAATTACATTGCCAGGATTTTTCTCATTGAAAAAGAAAAGAAAATTTCAATGGCAATTATTACAGGTTTGAGGGAACTGACTGCCAAATTTCTACTCACGGACATTTACTTAGGAATATTTCTTTATTATTCATTTAAAGTACATAAATTTAAAATAAGCTATCTAAGTCAAATATGTGTTAATAAGTCTTATCTATTTATTTTCCTAAAAAACTATTTTCCTTTTTACAGACTCACGCATAGGAAATGATAACTTTTGAATCATAGCATCATGACACCATCTGAATCTTTTTTTAATGTTTTTACAGGGTAGATTTATTAAAAGGCCTGATCTTCTCCAAGAGGCAATTGAGGATGAAACTAATTTGTGAGGAGCCGTCAGATATAAGCCAACATTTTTGTGGAAAGGATGAAATTAGGCTTTCTAAGTTTTTGGAGGCACCTCAGTTTGAGGCCTGAACTTTTTTGTCAGAAGGAGAGAAATCTATCAAATTTTGCATGAATGGTTTTTGAACTTTTTTTTGGTGGAGAACATGCACTGTTTTTGCTGATGATATTAAAAGAGGAAGAGTTATAAGTTGATATTTATTGGAAAGAAAATGTTAAAAAAGTAATGGAGTACGCGTTCTATCGTGGCAGTCAAGTAGTGGAATATGTTTCTAATTTGAATTCTGTCCACTGTGGTTAGATAGTAAAAGAACCATGTACCTGCAATCAAATTCTCTTAGAGGTACTAAACCATTTCAGCAAAATTTTGCAAGCTCAAAACAATGATCGGGCTGAACGTAGAGCTGACACGGACAGTTAGAGGTAGAGGGAACGCAGACAGATGAGATTAGACTAGATTTTTGTGAATGAGGGCTGAGAGAACACTCGTGCAAAACCAAAATGATTCTCAATCTCTCCTCAAGACTCAAAACAGTCTTGGCTGAGAGAACACTCGTGCAAAACCAAAATGATTCTCAATCTGTTCATAATATGATCATTGTTGATCAAGTAATTTTGATGATAACAAATATTGTAATTTGACTAATATGTCTCAATTGTAGTGCTACTGTCGCAGACGTAGAAACGAAGAAGGCCGATCGGATATCGTTTCGATACCGATGAGCCCTGACAATAGCAGATAGAAAACAAGCTTGAATCCACAAGCCCTAGGTTTCTCAAACTTGAGAAGAAAAACAATGGAGACCAATTCTCTTGATTGAATAATTGAAAAGTTAATTTACAATTTACAAAAGGAACTAATATTTATAGCCAATTAAATCTATCATAACTCTAATAAAAAAGAAACTCAAGTCTAAAAGGAAAATACCAAATCCCAAAAGGAAACAATCAGAAGAAAACTCTTTCCTAATCTGAAATTCGAGTTGACACGAGGCGTCCTGACTAGCACCGCCTTTCGTGTCGACTGGACCTGAGTCGACTAAGCATGTCGAGTCGTCCTGCCTTTCGTGTCGACTGACATGTGTCGACTCGTCCTGTTGTCTGTCGTCTCGTCCTATCGTTTCGAGTTGTCTGCTCGTCTCGACTGGGTTGTGTTGACTCGTCCTGTCGTCATCTCGACTTGTGTTGGAAACTTATTCATGAAAAGGCAATTTTGCCTTTGTGAATAGTCCCACATCGGAAAATGAGATGAATAGTAAAGGGTATATAATGGTTCTCTCCTTATTGGGCTTTGAATAGTGTTTTGGGTTTTGTGGGCTTTGCGGTTCTACCACACACGCGCGCGCGCACGCCACGCCGCGCCACGCCGCAGCCGCACACTTTTGCTTCTCAAGCCTTCATTTTTGCACGTTTTACACATTTTGTAACGGCTGCATGCGGGTAACGGAAGCATTAACCGTGCGTAACGGTCCCTTGGATTCAGCGGGGGTTACACCTTTCATCACCTATAAAAGGAGGCTTGGAGCTCATTCAGAATCACACCAACGAAGAGGAACACTTTCTAAACTCTCTTCTCTTCTCTACTCTCTTACCTCCAAGAAATTTCGGCTACATTTTACTGGGCAACCGTTTTCATCTGAGCATAAGCTCTGTGTCTCACGCCCGAGTGCAGAGGCCGGCCGATTCCGGGGGTTTTTACCGCTAGGGGAGAGAGGACAAACTACGCCAGGGCGATAGGCGAGTCCTTAATCTTCTAGGGCAGTGATATCACGACTGCTCCCAATCAGGCCTGAATTTTCTAACTCCTTAATTTGTTTTATATTCTTATTGTTTTGACAGCAACTTGTATGTTCTGTTGGCGTCTCGTCTGGTTTAAGTTGAGTCTCTCTATGCTGTTGGCGTCTTGTCTGGTTTAAGTCGAGTCTCGTCTCGTCCATCTGTTCAGTCAACTCGGCTGCTTTTCTTCTCGGTTTGTCCAATACTTGATCTCTTGCATCAGTCCCTCCTTCTTCGGAAGAACTCATCTCTGAGTTCTCATCACTTGAATTCAACTTGATTGAAGGATGATAGTCAGAAATATCCGCCACATTAAATGTCGCCGACATAGTCATTCCTTCTGGAAGGTCTACTACATATGCATTATCGTTGATTTTCTTGAGAATCTTGAACGGCCTATAACATTTCGGCTTAAGCTTGCTGTATGTTTCAGCCGGTAGTCGTTCCTTCCGTAAATAAACCATCAACATGTTTCCTTCATTGAATATCTTGAGTCGCCTTTTCTTGTCCGCTCGCGACTTGAACTTTGCATTGGTTGTCTCAAGCTTTGTACGCATTTCTTCCTGTATATTGAAAGCATTCTCGGTCATTGAACTTGCGGCCTCGTTGACCTTACCACTTGTCGGCAACTTCAACAAGTCTTGGAGATGTCGAGGTGTCTTCCTGTAAACAATGGAAAAAGAAGACATACTTGTAGAACTATGAACAGTCATGTTGTAGGCGAATTCAGCTTGAGATATAGCTTGATCCCATATCTTTGGCTTCTCTCCACATATGCATCAAATTAAATTCCCCAAAGTTCGATTGACCACTTCGGTTTGTCCATCCGTTTGAGGATATGCTGTGCTAGAATACTTCAATGAAGTGACAAATCGTCTCCAAAAAGTCGCCAAGAACCTAGTATCCCTATCTGAAACAATCAACTAGGAAAACCATGTAGTCGAACCACCTCTTGAAAGAACAGTCGTGCAACATGTGGTGCATCCGAAGTCTTACGGCGCGGGATGAAGTAAGCCATCTTAGAAAAACGAACCACTACCACGAAGACTGAATCCACGCCTCTTTGTGTTCGAAGAAGTCCTAACACAAAGTCCATACTCAAATCTTCCCATATATCCTTGGGCACATGTAGGGGAGTATACAAACTAGTATTCTGCACTTGCCCATTTACAACTTGGCACACTTGACAACTCCTCACAAGTGTTGCCACATCTTTCCTCAAGCTTAGCTAATAATATCTCTCCTCAAGACTCAAAACAGTCTTGTCTCACCCAAAGTGTCCACCAAACCCGCCACCATGTATGTCTCGAACTATCTTTTCTCTCAATGACGTCCTTAGAATACAAAGTTGATTCCCCTTAAATAGAAACTCGTCCATAATAACACAGTCTCCTGCGGGTTGTCTTGTCAAACACTTGGCCCAAACCTCCTGAAAGTCTTCATCATCAACATAGAGCTCTTTCAAATTGTTAAAAGCAACAACTTCACCTCGCAATATGCTTAACAAAGTTACCCGGTGACTCAAAGCATCAGGAACCTTATTGTCAACTACTAACTAATGTCGTAATGTAAAGTTGTACTGCTCGAAGTATGAAGCCCATCGTCCATGCATTTTGTTGATATGTTTCTGATTCTTGAAGTGTTGAAGAGACTGATGATCGGAATAAATCACGAAATCGTTAGCAATGAGGTAGCTCTTCCAAGTCTTCAAAGAACGAAAAACAACATACAACTCCTGCTCGTAAGTACTCCACTTCTGCCGGGTTTCATTTAACTTCTCACTCAAGAAAGCAATGAGACGCTTCTCTTGAGAGATGACGACTCCAATACCGACACCACATGTGTCACATTCAAGCTCAAAGAGCTTGTCGAAATTCGGAAACGCCAAGATCGGTGCAGTGGTAATCTTCTCCTTGATAAAGGTAAAAGCCGCATTTGCTGCATCCGTCCATTCAAAAACGCCCTTCTTCTTTAAGCAATTCGTCATGGGGGCAACTATAGAGCTAAAATTCTGAATGAAACACCGATAAAAAGATGCTAGCCCATGAAAACTTCTTACCTCCATAACACTTTTGGAGTCAGCCAGTTCTTGATTGCCTTGACTTTGTCTTCGTCGACTTGGATCCCCTACGAGCTTACCACAAACCCTAAGAACACTAGTTGAGTGGTCATGAATACACACTTCTTAAGGTTGACGTAAAGTTCATTCTCCTTAAGCACTTGGAAGACTTCTCGGAGATGCAACATATGCTCTTGTTCATCTCGGCTATAGATGAGAATGTCATCAAAGTAGACGACTACAAATCTTCCCAAGAAAGGCTTCAGAATTTGATTCATCAAACGCATAAATGTGCTTGGAGCATTCGACAACCCAAAAGGCATCACCAATCATTCGTATAAGCCCTCACTACTCTTGAATGCAGTATTCCACTCATCGTCGGGTCGGATTCGGATCTGATGATATCCACTCCTCAAGTCGACCTTCGAGAAGACACTTGCACCCCCAACTGATCCAACATGTCGTCTAGCCTAGGGATTGGGAATCTGTAGCGAATTGTAATCTTATTGATGGCTCGACTGTCTACCCACATCCGCCAACTTCTATCTTTCTTTGGTGTTAATAGGGCCGAGATTACGCATGGACTCATGCTCTCTCGGAAGTGGCCCTTTTTGATGAGGTCCTCAATGGTGTCTTGTAAAATCTTCTTCTCCTGCGGGTTCATACGATAATAAGGAAGATTAGGAAGCACTGAACCCGGGATGAAATCAATATGGTGTTGAATATCTCTCATGGGTGGAAGACCATCTGGCAGCTCCTCGGGAACCAACACGTCGAACTCCTTAAGTAGCGGATTTATCTTCTCTGGAACCTCAACGAGAGTCTTCACTACTTCTTTAACGACTAAAGCAAACCTCTGTTTTAGCTCCTTTGATCCGGCTAGAAATTCTCCCTTGTTGCAAATAGAAACATGTTTGGATTTTTGATTCTTTGGGCTCTTTGGGGAGGGTGGAATTAGTGCTAAAATAATCTTTTTGCTCATCCATGCGAGCGAGTATTCGTTCTTCTTGCTGCCATGCTTAGCATCGACATCATATTTCCACAGTCGTCCTAACAAGACATGACACGCGTCCATATCCACAACATCACAAGCTACAAAATCACTATAAGTCTTTCCTAGTGATAGTGGCACGCGACATACTTCGGTCACCTTCACAAAGGGGACTTTTTTGATCCATACGATGGTGTAAGGCACAGGTTTGGTATCGATCGGTAGTTTCAAGTGATTTACCAAGACCTTTGACACTATATTTTCACAACTTCCATGGTCAATGATAAGAGTGCACACTTTGTTATTGACCGAACACCGAGAAAAGAAAATTTGATGTCATTATGATGAGTCTGGTGTCTTTTAAGCACACAGAAGTCATTGAACAACACACAACACATTGTCACCTTCAATTTCGATAACTTCTTCCTCATACTCTTCTTTGGATGTTGTGTGTCCATCCTCAGCCTCCTCATAATCCGCTAGATTGACCTTCTATCGTTGCGGGCACTCGTTGGACTTATGCCCAGGTTGGAGACATCGAAAACACTTCCTGCCCGTCGGCTTGGCATACGTATTTGCTTGAGTCGTCGGGGGCGGTGGTTGAGTTGTTGACCGCTCGGCCAACCGTGGAGGAACAGGTTGATCAGTCATCCTCTGCCCTGCCAACTCACCTCTCGCCTTCTCGACCGAGCCTCCCTGTTCGGCTCGTTTGAAAGGTAACGCCTTAGAGGCTAATCTTTCCGCCTTCAGAGCCATATTGTAGGCTTCGTCCACGAAATACACCTTGTGGATGGTCACTTTCTCTTGAATTGAGTACTTCAAACTGCCGATATACTTGGCTACGAGCTGTTCCTCGGTCATCGACAAATCACAACGTGAAGTAAGACGGAAGAACTCTTCGGTATAGGCGCTTACTGTTCAGATTCCTTGACGGTATTGCTCGAACTGATTGTAGAGGATTTGTTGATAGTCGGGTGGTAGAAATCTCGCATGTAGCAACTGCTTCATACGTCACCAAACCCGAACTGGTTGTTTGCCTTGCCGTCGCCTAGTGTTTTGAGTTTGATCTCACCATGTCGTGGCTCCTCCTTTGAGATGATAAGCTACAAACTTCACCTGATTTGCTTCAAGAATATTAGTCATCTCAAAGAACTTTTCCACCTCGTAGAGCCAATTCAGGAAAGCCTCTATGTCCAAATTTCCTCCAAAGGAAGGAAGTTCTACCTTCATCTGATATTCTTATTCCTGATGATGTCGGCCTTGTCGGTGGTATTTGTGACGAGGATTGTAGCCCCTACCTCGACCTCTGTCATAAGGCCAATCTTCTTCTTCTTCACTCAAAACATTCTCGTTCCATGGCCCTTCAAATTGGTGATCATAGTCTACTCATTCGTCATTGGAATCATCATGTGGAGGGGGTTGGTTGGGATATCATGTATGATGTGGAGGGGCTTGATTTGGGGGATGTTGATACGGAGGTGTTTAATATGGAGGAGGCTGATGCGGAGTGAGCTGATATGGAGGGATTTAGGTCGGACATGGTTGATATGGAGGGGGTTGAACTAGAGGGGGTTGGGGATTGTACAGGGGTGGATATCGGGGTAGCCTAACTCTGGGTTCGCTTAGGTGAAGACCGTCGACGAAGTTATTTTCATTGTTGAGGTGAAGGGTAAGTCCTTCAATGGCTTGTTGAAGGTTCTAAAGAGATGTCTCCAATGTGAAAAATCTTCTATCCATAGAATCCATCCTCACGGAAAGATCCTGTAGAGAAAGCTCATTCTCACCGTCACCTGTCATTATCGAGGATGTTAAAACCGAAGCTCTGATACCACTTGACACAGATGTAGACATAAGGAAGACCAATCGGATATTATTCTGATACTGACGAACCCTGATAATAGCAGGTAGAAAACAAGTTTGAATCCATAAGCCCTAGGTTTCTCAAACTTGAGAAGAAAAACAATGGAGAACAACTCTGTTGATTGAATAATTGAAATGTTAATTTACAATTTACAAAGGAACTAATATTTATAGCCAACTAAATCTATCCTAACTCTAATAAAAAAGAAACTCTAACAATTTACAAAGGAACTAATATTTATAGCCAACTAAATCTATCCTAACTCTAATAAAAAAGAAACTCTAAGTCTAAAAGGAAAATACCAAATCCCAAAAGGAAACAATCAGAAAAAGAACACTTTCCTAATCTGAAATCTGACTCGACACGATGCATCCCGACTAGCACCGCCTTTCATGTCGACTGGACCTGAGTCGACTAAGCATGTCAAGTCGTCCCACCTTTCGTGTCAATTGGCATGTGTCAACTCGTCCTGTCGCCTATTGTCTCGTCCTGTCATTTCGAGTCGTCTGCTCGTCTTGGCTGGGTTGTGTTGACTCGTCCTGTCATCATCTCGACTTGTCTGTGCTGTTAGAGTCTCGTCTGGTTTAAGTCGAGTCTTGTCTCGTCCATCTATTCAGTCGGCTCGGCTGCTTTTCTTCTCGGTTTGTCCAATACTTGATCTCCTGCATCAGTTATCCATTCAAAGGTTGATCAAACAAGCTACAAGATATATGAATCAAGTTGATCAAGCAAGGCAAGGCTCAAGACTACAAGATAAAATTGTTGTGCTTCAAAATTGCAATTTCTCACTTTATTTTAGTCAATTTTTGTTAAAAACCTTGATGACACACACACACTAGACTTAGATTACTAGGTGACTTAACCCCTAGTCTAAGTTAGTTTATACTGGTTAATTTGAATTTAAGTTATTTAAATTTTTAATCTTGACTTTTGATTCAAAATTAATTTTAAATTTAACTTAAGTTTTCAACTGATTTTTCAAATTAACTGAGATAGTCGACTGATCAGTTGGTTAGTCGACTGATGAAGACCCTGAGACTTAACCAAGTTTCTGGTCAGTCGACTGGTGGTCAGTCGACTTATGTGTCCACCAGTCGACTGATCAAGGCCGGACATATTTTTCAAACTCTTTGGACAGTCGACTGATGATGAAATTTCAAAAAAAATCTTTATCTTCTGGCCAGTCGATTGATCTCTATATTAGTCGACTGATTCAAGTAACAATCATTTTTTAAAATCTTTAGTAAGTCGACTGATGAATCCACCAGTCAACTGATAGAAATAGTTTATTACTGTTGGATTTTGATGTTCAAATTGAATTAGGCATTTTATGGCAGTTAAAACTCAGATTCTGAAATTACATTTGAACTCATAAGTTATGCCTACTGTCTATATAGATAGATACCCTAGAGTTCATTTGACAGAAACACAAGTTTTTAATCAAAATTTCATATACTCTCAAGTTGAAAATCTAAAAAATAATTGCCTTCTATTTTCCAAAAAGCTTTCAAGTTTTTGTTAGGCATCCAAAAAGAGATTCTATTAGCCACTGATTCTAAGATCACTTCTTCATCAAGGCTTATAGGGAAAAGTGTTGTAATCTTCTTCAATGTGTTCTCTCTAGTTTGAGGAAAAGTTCTTCTCTAGTTTGAGAATGAGTTTGCATTTTGGCAAGGGGATTGTCAAGGTTATGCAAGAGTTATTCTTGTAAGAAAATTCAAGAATAGTAAAAAATCTCAAGCGGGTTGCTTAGGGACTGAGTGTAGGTCTGGAGGACCGAACCAGGATAAATTCTCGTGTTTGCAATTGTACTTTTCTGGTTTGAGTATTCTATATTTTCTGTGATTATTAGTTGTTGATATAATACTATTCCGCTGCATAATTATTTTTAATTTCGCAAGAAATTTCTATAAAGCACTATTCACCCCCCCCCCCC